TATATCTGCAATCGCGCTGGTTTTTCTCGCCAGGCTTATATACTAAAAAAGAGGGCGCCTCGAACAATCTCGAGCCTCCCCGATAATGCATGATCTTTCCAGAAACTCCAGCGCGCATGCTCCCAGTGTCACGCGACTTCCGCTATCGTAACACACTTGTATATAAGAGAATGAAATACTTTAGAAATAATCAGGAAGCTCCTATCAATTAACCTGCATGAGCATTTTGTAATATTTTTTGGGTATTATTTCGATATATGCTTTTTTGCATTTTCAATAATTGTTCTCCAAGTAGATGCAAACGAGAATGAATGTTATTTTTAACAGTTTTCATTCTTATAGTACATAATATAGCGCGTAACCATCATCCCCTCCATGTGGTGAGGTAAAACTTGAGCCCTGGAGATCAGGTCAATAACAACAAAAATTTGATTGTCATTTTTCGATGTCTTTTTTAATATTTTTGAACTTTAATGGCGCAGAATCATCATACATACTCTACTGTTCTTTTTTTTATATACAGTCAGAAGCTGACCAAGACAAAAGCGGATAGATCAGCTCTATAATCTCGTGATATGTATTATTTTGTTGTACTATAACTTGTTCCCTTAGACAGAATAGATATATAATGGCTGGAGATCATTTGATGATGACAAAACCTTGTCGAAACGTTGTACATTTGCTGTTATATTAAAGTTTTTCTTCATTACCAATTCAAGCCGTCTCCAGCCATTATTAGTCTCAAAGTGGGTTCCTCGTCATCGAATTAGAATAGATATATCATGTGATTCTTTTCTAGTAGTTTCACAAGCTCATCAAAGTGAATAAATTGGCTTTATTTTTTCATGATGTGCTCTTCTTTTCTAATACTGTCACAAGTAAGACAGAGGGGAATAAATTTGGACTATCGTCTCGTGGTATGCTCATCTTTTTAATACTGTCTCCAATTAACAGTGTGAAGTGGATGAGTATAAGCTCTATTGTATCGCGATGTGCTGTTCTTTTCTAGTACTGTCACAAGTTAACTATGAAAGGGATAGATTTGCTCATTCGTCTCTTGATGAGGTATTCTTTTCTACTACAAAGACAAAAGTGAATAAACTAGCAATATTGTCACATGACAGGCTGTTCTTTTCCACTATTGTCAGAAATTTATCAAAAAGTGGATAAATACGTAAATCGCTTCATGATTTGCTGTTCTTCTCAGGTACTGTCACAAGTTTAACACAGTAGATGGATTAACTCTTATCGTCTTATGATGTGCAATTTTTCTGTGGTACTGTCACAAGTTGACCGAAACATAAGCAACTAAATCAGCTGTATAGTCTCGTGAAATGTTCTTCTTTTCTAGTGTTATGACAAAGACAGAAGTGGATTGATTAGCTTTACAGTGTTATGAAGTGCTACTCTTTTTAATACTACAGCCGGTTTACCAATAGTTGAGAAATGAGCTCTATTGTCTTATAATGTGCTGTTCCTTAATAGTACTGTGAAACGTTTTACAATAAAATAATCTGTAGATTAAATCTATTGTCTCGTGATATGCTGTTTGTTTTTTTTATCAAATTTTCACCAAGACGAAAGTAGGTGGATTAGGACTATCGCCTCAGAATATGGTGTACTTTTCTTTTATTGTCAAATTTTTAATAGGACAAAAGTAGATGGATTAGGACTATCGCCTCAGAATATGGTGTACTTTTCTTTTATTGTCAAATTTTTAATAGGACAAAAGTAGATGGATTAGGACTATCGCCTCAGAATATGGTGTTCTTTTCTTTTATTGTCAATAATAGTGCACAATGGCAATAACATCACTGAAACAGTAAAAGACAACTCCTGTTATGGAGTGTCAGGATCCAATATTTGTGCAAGATCAATCACTTTTAATCACCTTGTAACCATGAAATTATACATACTATAACTTTTAATATCATAAGTGTATTTTCACAATATTTGGCAGGCTTTTATTAAACATTACAAGTTCGTTGTATGATAAAAATTAAATTTTTTTTTAACTACAGATTTTTACTGAAAATTTGTCTTTGAATTTACAAAGTCTTTACTAAAAAAGTCTGTCTGATGGAAAAGATGATTTTCATGCTAAGAATAAAGCTACTTCTTTTAATCTTGTAGTTTTCGTATATAATTTGCATAACCTCTACAACCTTTGAGATGAATATCAAAAGTTTATTTTCAGTAAAACTATATTTTATCTGTTATTCTCTCTAGCCTAACACTAACTGTATTGGCCTTTATCAACTTGACCAACCTTGTAACCACTATATGACAAAAAATATGAAATAAAACTAAACTACCCTTTTTTCTTTCTAAATTGATTGCACATCATTGTAACAGACAATTACACACTATTTATTTTTACAGCCAAAGGTAATATATTTTTAATTTAGTTTTTTTTTTCAGCTGCACTTAGACCCTCTCTGAGTATGCAGGAAACTATCTATTATGTGGACAGTTTTGTGTAAACAAAAATCCAGATTAGCAGCACAAACGCATGAAATTACACAGTCACATTCACACAGCATGTGCTATGCAAGTATTTTTCTTTTTCTCACCTAACAGGTTTCTAAATTTTCATTTTAGTTTCTTTTATAACAATAATATATATATATATATATATATATATATATAATAAAAACAAATAAATTACTTACTTACTTAGTAATAAGTTATTATTTACTTTATTAGTTCTTTACGT